GGGGGGTGTATGAGGGTGTTGGGAGGCGATTTAGGGGTGTTGGGGGGCGATTTAGGGGTGTTGGTGGGGTTATTGGGGATTATGGACTGCCAATAGGGTGTGTATGGGGGGGGGTAGAGGGGTGGTAGATGGGGTATTTGGGGGGTATGAGGGTGTTGGGAGGCGATTTAGGGGTGTTGGGGGGGGTATGGGGGTGTTGGTGGGGTTATTGGGGTTATTGGGGATTATGGACTGCCAATATTTTTTTTTTTGTGGGGTGCCGACGACCGCCTACCGGTCGGCTGGTCAGTAGCTGACCAGTCAAGGGTTGGCGACCGTTGGCCTGTGTAACTCCGTTCTATACAAGAAATGTGGTGTTTGGCTAATGCCCTGTTGAGCATCCGACCGAGAAGAAGGTCAACTGCAAGGCCCGAGCTGATTGGATTCTGTGTTGCTGTGTGAGGTCTTCTTCTTAAAGCTCATTGAAATCCTGCTTTCTGCTGGAATGAACAAAACCCCTCTGTTCTATACAAGAAATGTGGTGTTTGGCTAATACCCTGTCGAGCACCCGACTGAGAAGGTGGTCAACTGCAGGCCCAAGCCGATTGAATTCTGTGTTGCTGTGTGAGGTCGTCTTCTTAAAGCTCATTGAAATCCTGCTTTTTGCTGGAATGAACAAAACCCCTTACATATGGGATGAAAGGTTGTTGGGTAGAAACTTGCACAGCAACCGTGAACAATTTTTCCCTTACCTTGGGTTCCCTTGTGTATGGGGTCTGTGGGCTCCCAGTATGGTACATCCTTTCTAAGTCAAATTGAGCAAAAGCTGCTACTTCACGATATTGTGCGAGTTCTAGTTTAAGAGTACCGCATACTTGTTTCATTAACTTTCACAGCTTTCAATAGAGCTGTAGAACCTACATAACTTACAGAAAATGCCACATCAATACCAGGTCAGAGTCCACAAAAAAAGACTTCTGTTTCCAAAAAGTTTTGTCCGTCCATAATGGAGATTACATTGGTAGGAATATAAGCAGATTTGGAAGTCTTACAGAAATTGCCACGTAGCTGCAGTTGCATGTGCTCGAGTTCCGGTTGTCCCAATGTTGGCTTCAGTTTCCATTGAAGGATTTCCAGTGCACACAGTACTTTTCTGTCCTTTTCCCTCCTCTTCGCACTGGTAGCAGGGTCAAAAGTTACTAAAAACTTAAAAAGTCTCTTTGTCGGTTTTGCTAACTCTTGAGAGGATTTCCGTGTGGTCTTGCTGTTGCGTTATGTGCAGGATAATATTTTTGAGTGGCATTTTGCAATCCGTGGTCCTAGAGATTCAGAGTTTGAGGGTGGCATATACCATGGCCGTATTATTCTACCATCAGAGTACCCTTTCAAGCCCCCGACGTTCATGTTACTGACGGTTAGTCTTGATCTTGGCTTGACACCTTCAGAGATGTAAAGCTTCAACATCACAAAAGCGAAGGAACAGGGAGACAAGAGAATTCAAATAACTGAATGAGGACTACAACTCCCCCCGTCTTTCTATTTGTCATAGAAGCAATAGCATTCCGGTCTGACCAGGGCCCCCACTCCCATCCCCAACCGGAACTGGGCCGGTCAAACCAGCTGGTCGACCGGCCTGGTTCCCCCCCGGTCGGCCCCAGCGGATGTGCCAGAGGGGCCAAAAAAAGAAGAAACCGGGTCCGGTAGGCCCGCCCAACAGGTTTCAAAAGGGCGGCCAATCTGGACCTCCGATCTCGAGAAATCTGTGGCCCAGATAGGCCTCCCTTTTCAAACTTTATGGGCGGGAAAGTGTCGGCCGTGCTCACCTCTCGGCCTACCGGCCCTTTGCTACACTAGAGAACACTCTACATGCATCTGGACGCTTCTTGGGCCGTGTGCATGCTTGTAGAGTGTTGTGTAGTCGAGGTAGGCCCCCATTTCCCTCTCCTGCCTTTGCCCTACCGCTGCCTTTGCCCTCCCGCCCATTCAACAATTGGCTGCCCCCTCGTTTGCGCGCCCTTGTCGTGGAACCTCGGCTGTGTGCTGCGATGTCATGATCGCCTCCAGCCCGTCGCCACGCCTTCGAAGTCTGCCCACCATCACCTCCAGCCAGTGTGCACCCTGTCTCTTATACACATCTAGATGTGTATAAGAGACAGGTAGTGTAGGGCAGGGGAGGTCTTACGCTGCTGT